CCTTGTCATTACAATTCAATCTTAGACAATAATTTAATGATTGGAATTTAACCGAATGACTAAAACTTAACACCATGATTGGAAATTAACTTAAGAATTAATTTTAACCGTATGATTAGAATTAAACTTCATGATTAGAATCTAACCTGACCTAACCTAACCTAAAAGCGCGATTAGATTGAAACTAAATGGCCAATACTTGAAAATACCAATCTTTCCCGAGACTCAATATCCTAAATGAACAGCCAGTCGTAAGTCCAATCCGCAGATCCAGCCATCAAGAAGTATCATCCAATCAGGTAAGGTCCTCGTCGTTGAGTGGCTGATCTGAGGGAACAACGACCAATCACGTACACCGCTGTTGCTCTCCTGGTGGTGATTGGTCGAGAGTGTAATGTCTTATACGAGGTTTCCATTCCGAGACGTAATGTGATTTCATTGATTTCTCTCTCTTTCTCTTTCGTTCTCTCTTTTTCTCTTTCTTTGTCTGTCTGTCTGTCTTATCTTCTTTATGTGTCTCTATTTCATTATCATTCTCTTTCTATCCTTCACTCATACTCTACCCACCCTAAGACTTAGCGCAGGATAGACAGATAGATAGATAGATAGATAGAAATGAGAGACGGATTGCCAGAGAGAGAAAGAGAGAGTGAGAGAGGCGGAAAGTCCCTGAATATTTCCGCCCCTTCTGTCCTGGTTTGAGCGGAAAGTGGGGGAAAATATTCAGGGAATTCCCCAAGCCGATGGGAAAGTTTGTCTTTCCTCGCTGAGAAAAGAAAGCGAGAGAAAGCAATTTCGAAAGTTTTTTGGAGTGTCTCTCGATGACTCTTGCTTCTCCCTCATACTTGTCCTGACACCTGACTAAGTATATTATGCCTTACACCTGTCCATATGTCAACTTACAGGTGTGTGTTATATCTCAACACCTGTCATTATGCCAACTTACAGGTGTGTGCTATACCTCTCAACACCTGTTTCTGTCAGTTTACAGGTGTGTGCTGTATCTCTCAACACCTGTTTCTGTCAGTTTGCAGGTGTGCGCTATATCTCCCAACACCTGTTTCTGTCAGTTTACAGGTGTGTGCAATACCTCTCAACACCTGTTTCTGTCATTTTACAGGTGTGTGCTATATCTCTCAACACCTGTCTCTGTCAACTTACAGGTGTGTGCCATCCTCCCAACACCTTCTTTATATCATCTTAAAACATATATGGTGTACATCTTTCTTTCCTATTCTCTTTATCACTATCTCAGTTTATCTTGCTCTCTCTCTCTCTCTTTCTCTCTCTATTTCTTTCACTCACTCAGTCAGTCAACTCACTCACTCACTCTACTACACTCTCACACAAGCACCTAATTAACCACATTCAATTATCCCAAGGACATTTCCAGAAGATAAACAGTACAGCGTCTCCCACACCATACGGTATATGCCTCTTATAGTCTATATAGTGTTCTCCTATAACTTAACATTATAGGAGTTAGTAATGACACACTCAAGGCTGGAGTTTCTTGGCTGTAAACAAAGACTCAGTGTGTTGTCTTGTGTTTTACGAGTGACTGTCATGTTTGTTGTGCCGAGTCGTATGTATGTATGTATGTATGTATGTATTCTGTCATCCACTGTCATTTCTGTCAGTTTTGTCTGCCGTGTGTACCTGCATGGTGTTATACGGGAAATATATTCTGGTAATCCTTGCATGAGAGAAAAAACCTAACTTGTTTTCCAGGAATTTTACCCCAAAAAATTAACTTTCAGGTGCAGCGGGTTATCACACACACACACACACACAGCGGCACTAGACAGGCAGGCTTTCAGAACTCATCAGTACAGTATGGAAATTTGTGGAAGAATGAAAATATTCTTAAACAGCTTTCACAGCTCATCAAGTCTTCATTGAAGCTTAACACACACCTGGCAAACACATTCCCACATATGACTTAACAACAGTTCACCACCACTGTCAACACATACACACACACACCTGACAAATATAATTCCACCCAAATATAACTTGCAACAGTTCACAAGCAAAGTCAACCCACACACACAACTGATATAGCACAGATAAACTTCAATAGTCAGTTTTATATCCTCTTCATATCTTTCTATCTCTCTTTCTCTCTCTCTTTCTCTCTCTCTGTTATCTTTATCTCTCTCTGTCTCTCCGTCATTTTTTTTAGAGAACAAAGCTTTGACTACATAGCTCACTGCCTCACGCTTTTGTTACTTTATGCAAAATAATGAAATAAACAAGAAAGGCAGCACCAAAAATCCTAGAGCCGTCAATAGAATCGCTGATCCACCCGACTGAGGCCAAAATCGATATCGTTCCCCAAACATAAGAGAGAATTTGCGTGGATATTTTGGTTGCAATCTGCCGAGTAGAGAACTTGAGCTATCGGGTGGAAATCATTAGCCTACGGACAGACATGGACACAGATAGACAGAGGAATAGAGATGGACAGACAACGGACATAGACAGAGGAATAGAGATGGACAGACAACGGACATAGACAGAGGAATAGAGATGGACAGACAACGGACATAGACAGAGGAACAGAGATGGACAGACAGAAAGACAACGAACACACACAAACAGGGGAATATGGACAGACAGGGACATAGATAAACAGAGGAATAGATATGGACAGACAACGGACATAGACAGAGGAATAGAGATGGACAGACAGAAAGACAACGAACACACACAAACAGGGGAATATGGACAGACAGGGGCACAGACAGATAGGGGAGCAGAGTTGGACAAAACTAACAGACAGACAGACAGACAGCAGCTCCCTCCCTCCTAACCCTGCCCTACCTCTTACCTGGAGTTGTTTGTATTACTCATGAGGAACTAATAAGTGCAGGTGTTGAAGACGCAGGTGAACTATAGCGCGTGTGTGTGAGGCCGCCGCGAGTACCTGATGACTTTTAGCTTGGACACTGCGCTCTCTCTCTCTCTCTCTCTCTCTCTCTCTCTCTCTCTCTCTCCACTCCTCCCTCCCTTTCACACACACACACACACACACACATACAAAGCACTGACCCAGGAGACTCCAATAAGGTACTCAGTGAAATTAACCTCAACCCCTCCCCCCCCAGTACCTATTTAATCTATCTAATTTGTCTGTCGCGAGTATCAAGACGTCGGCGCCTCATTTGCAAATTGGACGATAAGAAAGAAAAAAGAGAATGATGATAAACCTGATAAATGAAGGGGGTAGAGGAATGGTGGATAAGGAGGTATAGAGTTTTGATGTAAAGAAGATTAAGAGAAGGAAGAGAATAAGGGGTGTAATGTATTTTCTTTCTCTCTTTCTCTCTCTTTTTCTTTTTATCTTTCTCTTTCTCTCTCTCTCTCTTTATTTTTCTGTCTGTCTGTCTCTCTTTTTCTGTCTTTCTGTTTCTCTCTCTTGGTTTGTTTGTCTTTCTGGTTGTCTTGCTTATTCCCCTGGTTGCTTTTATTCTTTTGTTTTGCTCCTTGTTTGTTTGTTGTTGTTGTTTTTTAAATTTATCTCCTTCCTGGGCTGTCTGTCTGTCTGTCTGTCTGGTTGTATATCTGTCGATTTACCTATCTATTTAAACATATATACATATATGCATACATACATACATACATACATGCATACACACACACATACATACATACATGCATACAACCCATTATCTCATATTACCTTGAGTTAATTCAATTATCACAATTAAAAAACAACAACTCATACTAATTGCAGTGAAGGTTACCTGAGTGTTAATTAAGTACACAGGTAAGTGACAGTGTGAGGTAGTGTGTGTCAGTGAGTAACATTAGGTCTTATAACACGTGTGAGTCGTCCCGTTAATACACTTAGTGGCAACTCTTCCAACAGACGTGAAAGGTTGCTGTTTTATTTTATTTTTTTTTTATCACTGAGTCTATTTGCTCGTCTGGGAATCTTTCTGTCTTTCGTTATCTCTCTTTCTGCTTTCTTTTGTCTTTTCTTTCTGTCTTTATCTCTCGTTTCCCTGTCTCTCTCTTTCTTCTTCTCTCTCTCTCTCTCTCTCTCTCTCTCTCTCTCTCTCTCTCTCTCTCTCTCTCTCTCTCTCTCCAACTTTCTCCAACTTTCTTTCTTTCTCCTCCCCTTCTCTCTCTTTCTCTTTCAACACCCCACAGATGACCTGTTCGTTACCTGGCCAACTCATTATGGTAATTAGGACCGATCTACCTGGCGGGGATTCAGAGGCTGAATTTAGTTTTATAGTTTGTGTTGTGTGTGTCATGTTTGTATTTGTTTGTTTGTTTGTTTGTTTGTTTGTTTACATCTGTTGGCACTTATTTGTGGTTCTGTGGCTGTTTGTGGTTAATTGTGGGTGTTTGGTGCCCTGTTTGCAGTTGTTTGGTTTGTCTTGATTAGTGTTTTTATTTGATGTTTTGTTTGTTAGGTGCCTTGTTTGTCTTTGTTTACGTCTGTCTATGCTTCTGCTTGAATAATTGTTTGCTGATGCCATGTTGGTGTCTTATTTATTTGTTTGCATTAGTGTTTGTAATTTCGTAGGGTCTGTTAAATTGTTTGTCTTTTGTCTTTATTTTTTTATTTGCTTGTTATATTATGTGGCATGTTTGTATTTCTTTTGAGATTACACACACACACACACACACACCTTAGGTCTAAAATCAACTAAGATAACATTTATATCCTGGAGAGAGAGACAGAGAGAGAGGGAGAGAGAGAGAGAGAGAGAGAGAGAGAGAGAGATATGTTAATTATGCAAATCCCCAAAAATAATACAGGAACTCGGGTACTTTAGGAAATAAAATCTTAGAATAATAATGGTCAGCTTTTAAAATATTTTTAATTCACTTGCTTTCGTCGTTTTGCTTCTCTTGTGGTTATTGTAGTTATCGTCGTTGTTGTGGTCGGTGTTATATATATGTTTGTTGTTGACGTAGTATAAATAAGGAAATATATTTTGATTAAAAAATTAAAGGAGGTAAAGTGAGGTGAGGGAGACACATCAGGGGCTGAGAAAGGTGTTGAACCAGTAGAGGTAAGGCACCGCGCCAGGCAGGTCGTCGCCCAGGTAGTGACCCCAACACATGTACAGGCGGTTGAGACGGGCTCGATCCGTGGCGCTGAAGTCTTCCCGCTGACCTAGAGTGCCGTTGAACTCCTTCACCTTTAGCAACATCGTCTGGATGTTGTCGTCGACGGAGAAGATATTGTTGTTGTAGTGCAAGAGGCTGGTGGGGTCGTAGGGAAGACCCAGAGTCATCAGGAACCCAAAAGCACCCTTAAGCTTAGCGTACTCCAGATGGTGGTCCTGCTGGATGGCTTCCATATCCACCAGCAGGTACCTGACACGGTTGTAATGTCTCTGTTCGGGGTAGAGGCCGGCCAGCAGCAGTATTTGGTGCATCAGGTGCCATTTGGAGACAGTGCAGGAAGGGCCTACGAGGAACAGTTGCCGGAAGGTGAGCGTATCGGGTTTGTAGCCGATGTTGGTGGAGCAGGAGCCCTTGGACGGTTTAATCATCACCCGGTGAACTTCCTCGTCACTCTGAATCTCTATGAAGCGTACACAGGAGTGTATGCTCAGATACCACATAGCGAACGTGATTTTCTTTTGGGTAACCTTGTCCAAGTGGGGAGAAAACTCGTAGGGGATGGTGCCCCCGGGCCAGTAGTGTTTACTGAACACCTGCAAGCCGATGCCGAAGTTGGGGTGTTCATGCCCCAGCGAGCTGTACACCGCCCTCACCACCACCAGCCACAGCAAAACAGCCGAGAAAAACTTTAAAGTCATAAATAATTTTGTTTAGAACGCAAAGGCGGTTAAAGAAAAATAAATATTAGTGAATGTTGTTTACACCTCCTAGTATAACATACTGGCAGATGGCCATCCTGGAGAAGGATCTTAGGCATGGTCTCCAGCTCCTGATCTGCCACTCATAATAATTGACCTATGAACACATTATCCAAATTCTTCAGAAAACTTCTCTCTATGCTTGAATTAACGACGCAAATTCGGGGTCAAAAGTCTTGAACACTTGACAGTATTTGGCATGTAAGTACCCGAAAATCTTAGGTATTAAGGAGAGTTTTATCCCATTTTGTGGTTCAGGCATAATATGTGATGACAATTAGTGTTATTAGTATATCCCATTCATATATGTATAACTCAGAAGTAGATGCCAGATATTGCTAAGTGTTCAAGACTTTTGAACATGTATCAGGGTAACTACTTACAAATATTTACAATTCTACTCCAGAAACACTTTACTGTCATATATTATGTCGGGCTCTCCCTTCAACAGACTGACCATCATACCATAACAATATCTTAAGAGTCTTCCAACATATCACCTTTAAAACTTCTATAGGCCAGTGAAGGTTAATTAGCTTGGTTAATCTCTCCTCAGTGTTGGATCTATGGCCTGTTTGCTCCTCTTAGTAATATCTTTCAGTAACTACGGACACCAGATTTGATTACCAGATTCGAAATGTAATCTGACGAGTACTACATAATTATTTTGTGATAGCCCTTAATCAGTATAGGTAAAAGGGGGTGAGAAGGAGATGGAGAGGGAAGGAGGCAGATGAGGAGGAAGGTAGGTAGGTAAGGAAGTCAGGGGAGTGAAGGAGGGTGGGGAAGGGAGTAGGGAGGTGAGGGGAAATGACGAGGATGAAAAGAAAGAGAGGTGACAGAAAGGGGGATGAGAAAGAAGGAGGATTGGGTTAATAGGGAGAAAGGAGGAGAGGAGGGAAGACAGGTGGGAGGAGGAGAAGGAGGAAGTAGAATTTTAAAGAAGCTTTTTTTTTACTCTCTCTTTCTACCTTCTCTCCCTCTTACTTTCACCCACGCCTTCACTCTCACCTTCACTCTCACTTTCGCTCACTTTTATTCACACTTACATTATCATTCTTTATTTCACTCACATATTTGCTCAAACTCACACTTTCACTTGTTTTTACTCAAACCTTCACTCTCATTTTCACTCACTTTCATTTAATTTTGCCCACACCTTCACTGAATCTTTCCTAACCCCCTTCACAAACAGACACCTTCACTTGCATTTTTCCCCCATATCTTTACTCTCACTTTCACCCACCACGACAACACCTTAGAATGTTTGTTATTAAGTCGGCCAAGATGCGATTCTTCCACTCGGGGGGACCTTCTGTTGGCCACCGGGAAGTTCTTAGCTAGTAAATAGAGTTGGTTAACGTGTGGTGTCGTAACTAAAGCCTCGGGGCCAAGATTCTCAAGCATAGGATAATTTTTTTTCTTTTAAGTTGACAAGGGAATTTCCTCAGTTATGATAGTTTGCTAAGACGTATTTTACATACATATATATTTTTTTTTATTAGAGCATGAAGTAGTTATAATATAATATCGGTATTTAAATAGTTGTATAATGATTGTCTTAAATGAATTGAGTTAGAAAAAGGCGAAAAATTATTAATGTTTTCAGTGGCTTCACCGTGGCCAATCTTCTTACCTTCAATGACGTCACAGCCAAATGTCGACGTGTGAATTTTTAGGGAACGAATATATATATATATATATATATATATATATATATATATATATATATATATATATATATATATATATATATATATATATATATATATAATTAAATATAATTAAAAAAGGCGTGAAAATACTTCATAAAAATCAGGCTTTAAAATTGGTGAGCGTAAGTTGGTAATTTTCTTAATATTTAAATCATGCAGTTAGGTGTATAATCTTACGACCTCACTTATGAGGGAATATAAACTTGCGACCTTTTCAAAATACAGGTGCTGGAGTGAGAGGGAGAGAGAGAGAGAGAGAGAGTGAGAGAGAGAGAGAGAGAGAGAGAGAGAGAGAGAGAGCGCACAAGACAAACAGACAGACATAACAATAACAACATTATCATCCACACAACAATAACTTCGGCACAATATCACAACATGTTCTCTAATAATTAATTGCTTACGTGATATAATTAAAATCTATTTGAAAATGATTTATGTGGCGTCAATTATAATAATAAGAATTTCTTAGTTATATTCAATAAAAATATCACCGACTCATCATCGCTTTTGTCAAATATAATATAAAAAAAATCTATAAATTAATATTGTATTGACGACTCCAGGAAAAAAATCTACCCTAATTAAAATAAATTCGAAAAGAAAAAATAAATATTGATATGTAAAACGAAAATGTATGAACTCGAGGGAAAAAAATCTGTGTTGGGATTCTCAGTTTTATGTAAATAAATTATTCTTAAGTAAAGATGAAAGAATTTATTTAAATACAGTAGTTCACTTAAGATACGATGAAATTATAGATTCTTAAAAGTCTTACGTTCATTTTTTCTCGTAGATGTGAAAACTACTTAAGTGATTCATTCTTACGACACCAGCATAGAGTCTCAAGTGTCCATACGTGTATTCCCCTTAAATTGAGAGAAACGATTTATCTCAATTATACCAAATCACTTTTATTACTCCAGCAATATGGCGTCATAATAACACCAAGACTCACACATCCTTGGGGGGGGGGGGGTGATTAGGACGAATATTATCACTGCATGAACCTTTGAGAATACAGCGGTTTTTTATTTTACATCTTTGTTAACTTCAAGTGTTCTTTGTTGTTTACCTTTATAATCAACCTTTGTTCTTGTGCTGTTGATTTATTTCGAGAAAGATATTAACCTTCGTTTGAGTTATAAGAAAATAACTTAATTTTTTCTTATTGTGTAAACTAGAGATTTATTTGAAGACTCTCTCTCTCTCTCTCTCTCTCTCTCTCTCTCTTATTTCCTTTGTGTCTTTATTAATCTTCCAAATATTTACACGTGTCGAGGTGGACAACAAAAGGCGACTGAGCAAATATGGATGAACAAGATTTGGAATAATGAAGGTGGTTGAACAAAGGTGGGTGATTCAAGGCAGATGATTAGTGATGGATGAACAAGATGAGTGAACAAGGTGGATGTGGGTGAACTAAGTTGATAAAAAGAATGGATGAACAAAGTTGGATGACATAAACACACTCACAAACACACACCAATGTCGCCTACTAACTACTCTACCCGTCCCTCCCTCCTCTTCCTCCCGTCCCTCCTTCTCTCCTTCCCTCCTTCTCTCCTCTCATTCCCACACTCTCTCTTTCCCTCACTCCCTCCCACTTTTCCTCCCCTTCTCTCTCTCTTCCCCCTCTTTTCCTTCCTCCTCTCTCTCTCTCCTCTACCTCTCTCTCCCTCCTTCCCTCCCCCTTCTCCTTCCTCCCATTCCCTCATTCCTTCCCTTCATCTTTCTTCCTTCTTCCCCCCGCTCCCTCCCTCTCTCCCTCTTCCCACTTTTTCTCCCCTCCTCCCATTTTCTCACCCCTTCCGCTCTGCCTCCCTCTCTCCTTCCCTACCCAGCCTCCCTTCCTCCCTCCCTTCCCTTCCAAAACATCTATCTCGCCAAACTATTAAAACTTTAGTGTCCTGGGGGTAAATTTTGGCGACGAGGATAGGGCGAAAGTTTGTGATGGGTCTCAGTTCTCGTCACCGCGCGTTAACCTGTACAAAATGTTATGTTATTATTATTATTAAGTGTTGTGGTGCGTGAGGGTAATGCGAGTTTTTATCACACCATAAACTTGTGGAAAAATGAAAAAACAAAATGAAAAAGAGTGTGTTATTTAAGGTAATATTTTGATACACTGGTATTTAATAACGGCAAACGCGGTATTATGTTTTTGTCATTATTATTGTTATTATTATTATTAATTTATTCCTATTATATTTTCTTATTATTATTTTATTATTATTAGTAGTAGTAGTAGTAGTAGTAGCAGTATTAGTATTATTAGTATGTAGTAGTAGTGGTAGTAGTAGTAGTATGAGGCATGACGAGGTAAGGGATCTCACAGCAAACATGTTGAAGGAAATCTGTCGGGACGTCATGGTAGAACCGACCCTCCTTCCACTGGATGGCGAGATCTTCCAACACAGGACTTCAAACACATCTAACGAAGCCCGTGTGGACGTCAGTGCTCGAGGATTCTGGACGCGGGGACAGCGAGCTTTCTTCGACATCAGGATTTTTGATCCCATGGCCGTTTGTCACCGTAACCTAGCTCTCGATGCTGCGCATAGGAGGAACGAGAACGACAAGAGAAGGGCATATGGGGAGAGAATTCAAAATGTTGATCAAGGCAGCTTCACTCCTCTAGTGTTCACAACCTCTGGTGGGATGGGCCCAAGTGCAAGATGTTTCTACGCCAGACTCGCGGAGCTGATCTCCGAACAGAAGCAGCAGCCCAGAAGTTATGTCACAGCCTGGATGAGATGTCGACTGTCCTTCTCTCTCCTTCGGTCGGCTTTGCTCTGCCTCAGGGGAACGAGAGCTTCTGCCCCTACTCCGACAACTGCTGCAGATATCGACTATGAGGCTACAGTCACTGAATGCCGCATAGATCTGCGGCTCAACTAATTTAACACAGATAGGATAGTTTCTTATGTATTAGGATATTTAATATTAAGGTAAATAAATGGTGGCGAAGGTGTGGCTATTGGGGGAGGCTGGAGGCCACGTTTAAAAAAAAAAAGTTGTAGTAGT